TTGGACTGTTTAATCGTTTCGGGCCAAAAATTAAAGTTGTTCTACTCAGCGAGAGTTACGCAACCACACCAAATATCGCATTTTTCTCCGAAAGAAAATCAAAAACGATAATTTAGGCTTAAAGTTTGGAAAGTTAAATTGAACTTCCTCGGAGTTCCAGTACGTGGGCTCACGCTACAAGNGTCTCCTAGGGGTGAACTCACATACATGGGCTCCTCTAGAGTCTCGACCTCTAAGCCCAAGTCTCGTAGGCATGATATAGTAATAAAAGAATGTGATGCACCAGNATCTCCTAGGGGTGAACTCACATACATGGGCTCCTCTAGAGTCTCGGCCTCTAAGCCCAAGTCTCGTAGGCATGATATAGTAATAAAAGAATGTGATGCACCAGAATCAAATAATACTCTAGTCTATAATCTAGAGAGAAGAAATATACCTTGAATTATTGACTGATTTACCGATAAAGTCTGTGGTGTGATGGCAAAGACTCGCCCTTGGGTCCCTGAAGGCCCTGCCGGAAAGCCTTGATCCCGGCCTCGGCCCATGCCCTGGACCATTTGGCCTGACTGCAGAGTCCCCATTTGTGAAGTGGTAGGGGCCTGTGCTACACTTTGAAACTGGAACTGATTTTTTTGGCCCTTGGTGAGATAGGGAGGAATGAAGTAGGTCTGTGAATGCTCCACTGATGACTGGGACTGAGATGCCCCGTAGCTTTGAGATCCTTGTCTCTGAGGACACTCTCTTTTCAAGTGGTCTGACTGGTGGCAATAGTAACATGTCCATGGGCCTCGTTGTTGTGTGCCCCTAGAATTCCTCCCACCTTGGAAAGATTGACCATGGCCTTGGCCTTGGCCCTATCCCTATTGGGTAGAAATCCTCTGCCTTTTTCCCGAGCTAGTAGTGGAGGACTGTCCCTCATTCTTACTATCCTTTGATCTGGCCTCTCGAATACTCTTGATGTCTTCCACCTCTCTCTTTATAGCCATGGCTGTCTCGACCATCTCATCCAAGTCGTGCAACCTGTGGCCAACAATCTTCTCACGGATGGATAGCTTTAGGCCATTCTCAAACCTCCGCACCTTGGCCAAATTCGTGGCCACATAGTCACCCACAAAACGTGTCAATTTTGTGAACTTGGCCATGTACTACATAACCGTCATCATTCCTTACTTCAAGTTTAGAAATTCTTGGGCTTTGACTTCTCGAACAGTTGGTGGAAAATACTTATTCATGAAGAGCTCTTGAAACTCTCCCCATGTCATCCCCCCCATGTCTATCGGCTTTGCCCATGTCCACCATTGATGGGATTCTCCCTCAAACTGAAAAGTGGCCAACCATATCTTAGTGGCGTCGGATGCAATCTCCACTGCCTCTAAAACTTTGTCCACATGTTGAAACCAATTGTTAGCTACCATCGGATCCCCTCTTTCTATAAAAGTTGGTGGGTTGTGGGACCTAAACTTTTGGAGGTTGTTCGAGCCTCCATGGCCCACATTCGCACTAGCTTGCAAAAAGGTGGCAGTCATCATACCCATAGCCTCCATAAAGGCTTGTTGATCAAAAGTCGGTGGTGGTGGTTGGTTGTTCCGTCCACCTCGACGTCCCCTTCCTCTAGTTGCCATCTACACACACATAAGATATCAATAAACCAATAACTTAGTATCCCAAAGTTAGGAATCAAAAATTAAAACCGTAGAATATATATATCTACCGGTAGATGTCCAAACAGTATGCGTACATGTCTTTTTCCTTCCCGACTCTAAGGTTATGTTTTCTAACCGTAGTGTCTCATTCCTATGTACATTTAATCATGCATATAATCTCATAACACATATCATGTAACATTTAATACATTTAACATGCAATGCAAAATGGATGCAATGGCCTAGACCCATGCCTCATAAGTCCTAGGTAAATCGAGAACCGAGGCTATGATACCAAGCTGTGACACCCCAAAATTCAGGTGTTAGTAATTACCCGATTAATCACCTATCAACCCGCGAAATACCCATGAATACCATGTAATTCGATACCACACCGTTATGTCCCATTTATTGAGATCCATAACTTAACAAAATTTGGGCAGAGTCTCCTTTGTACGAGGAGCTCTACTCAAAACGCAACTTGTACAACATTGACCACACCGGGTCTATCCATCTATTCATAATTGTATAGTATCGAATACTACTATAATCATCATCATTACGTACATTCATCCATAAAAGAATAAATGTCTCAAAAGAGTCCCTTATACATGCCTTTTAAATATAAACAAATTTTTGTTACAAAAATTACACAAGGCCAAAAGTAATTATAAATAAGGGATTACGATGTCAAAGAAGAGCCACAAACAGGCTCTGTCGTCAACGCGGGGCCATGACCTCACCTTTGGTGGACGCCTATGCAATACCTAAAAAATGTCCCGATAAAGGGTGAGCCAACGCTCAATAGGGTAACTCCTATAGATAATACATCTCAACCTAAATGCATATAAAATGTCACATACAACAATTATTTCATGCAATCATTTAAATATGTCTATTATGAACAAATGTCATAAATCATGTCATGTCATGAGATGAGACTCACGAAAATAATACCAACACCGAGCCCCATCCTGAGTTTCTACAACACATGTAATGTCATGCGTATGTATCAGAGCATTCCAAGCCCCCGTTATTGGAGTTGTATACATTCAATTACTAATTAATTCATTTTCTTGTATCTTTGTGGGGAGATGATTTATGTTATTACACCAATAAGACACCAACCATCAACAGATTCTCAGGACATCCCACCTGCGGCTTCGTTTTGGCCGTTACACTTTTTTGGAATTTCACCGCCGAAAAGTGTATAAACCAAGTAAGTGGGTCTTACATCCGAAAGAGAATTTAGTCCTTCTTGCTATCCTCGACACGTTTATCCATTTAATTTTTTGTGCGCCTCAACCGGACCTTGGTGTAACTTTTTCGAACCCATAATCAATCACCTATGTGGTGATTGATTTCATCCCATGCACACACTCCCACCTATGTCAATGCCCATGAANACCCATAATCAATCACCTATGTGGTGATTGATTTCATCCCATGCACACACTCCCACCTATGTCAATGCCCATGAATATAATATAACTCATGGATAATGACATTTCAATGTGCAATTGCCTTTGATACCATTTACAATGTCCATTACATAGAGAATACAATATAATGACTTTTTTCAAAATGACAACATGTTTTTCAATTCTATAAACATAAACACAAGTCCACCACAATAATTATATGCTAAATAATCATTTAACATACATATTATTCCATAATTATATGCTAAATAATCATTTAACATACATATNGAGAATACAATATAATGACATTTTTTCAACATGACAACATGTTTTTCAATTCTATAAACATAAACACAAGTCCACCACAATAATTATATGCTAAATAATCATTTAACATACATATTATTCCATAATTATATGCTAAATAATCATTTAACATACATATTATTCCATAATTATATAACAAGCTAATAATTTTATTAAACTTGATATGTCATTTAACACATAACTAATATACAATTAACATGCTTTAAACCACTAATATTAATTTACACCAAGTTAATCGTAATAGGATTTTTCTAATTACAAAATTAATTATAAATCATATATTTGACCTATTAATTACACTAGTCAAGACTTAATATGTGATATACACCCATAGCCTACTTATTTCATATGCTATATTTTAGGTTGAAAGTAAATCTAAATAGGAGAAACCTTACCTCTCGTAGCGTGAGCCCACGTACTGAAACTCCGAGGAAGCCCAATTTAACTTCCCAAACTTTAGGCCTAGATTATCGTCTTTGATATTCTTTCGGGGAAAAATACGATATTTGGTGTGGTTGTATAGCTCTTGTTGAGTAGAGCAACTTTAATTCTTAACCCGAAACGACTAAACAGTTCAATTTTCGTAGATATGAAGAAGAAAAAAAAAACTTTTTTCTCTTTCTCACTCACTCGGCAGCCGGCTAGGGGAAGAAAATTTGAAAGACTAAAGCCTTTCACACTTGTGTATATATATATATATACATATAGTTTAAAAATTTATGTTTTTGATTCTTATATTTACAATTAATTATTATTTTACTCCTTTAATTAATATTTTTAATAATAATNCATATAGTATACATTTATAGTTTAAAAATTTATGTTTTTGATCCTTATATTTACAATTAATTATTATTTTACTCCTTTAATTAATATTTTTAATAATAATAATAATAATATTTTTTTTTTTCGAATTTTTACAGAAGGCCAGTTTAGAGAGTAATCACGCTATATATACACTGAAACCTGGGAGGAAGCTTAGGAAATTGTGGCCGTTTCTGGACTTCCATTTAATAAAATGCATGATTTTGTTAAATGTTGCCTGTGAAACCATGTAGTTGTTGTTAAGTGAAATTTCAAACGTTTTTAACTTTGGTGCCGAAGTTGAGAACAAGAGCTATTTCAAACCATGTGGTTGGTTGATTGGTGAAATCAGAGCCACGTCTTAAAATTTATTTATGAAATTCTTCTCACAAGATACTCCCATCACAAAGCGCTTTTCTAAACTCTTTGTTGCAGAAGAATAACCTAGTTCAATCAAAAAATGTCTTTTTGTGATTGTGGGCCAAAACCACAAAAAAAAAAAAAAAATGGGGTGATGTTCTGGGGCAGATTTGTCCTAGAAAAATGAGAGGACAACTTAGTATTGTAGGCGTAGATGATGAGGATGACAAGTGAAAATCCCAAAAGTAAATGTGGTCACCAAACCAACGCTGATCATATATGTAACTGTTCTATCCCCTCTAGGCCCTTATTGTTATCTTTTGGGAATCTACTCAAGCGGCCACACTTCCATTCCATTCCTCAGACAGTCCTTGCGGCGGGCGGGTGGGTTCTTCTATTTTCCATTTCCTAATAATTAATACTGTTACTGTTATGTTGGTTGGTTGGTTCATTGTTCTTGTAACGGTTTTTCGAATCTGAGACTGAGACTGAGAAGACATTCATCCATCAGAAGTTGCCATGACCACCTTGGTGACATCTCCACCTCGGATGCAACTCAATGTCCGTTTCTCCCCCTTTTTAGTGTCCGGCCAGAGGTTATTCTCACATGGATCTCTGTCTCTGCAAACACCCCACAAGGCATGGAGACATTCTATGTTTCTCAAGTCCAAACCTGTCGTCAAAGATGGGGTTCTCAGTTTCAATGGAACCAATGCGCTGACAGGAATACCAGATAATGTTGTCATGACACCATGGTCAAACTCTTCGCTATTCCTCGGTGCCACTTCCGCCCACAGCAGTTCCCGGCAAGTTTTCAAGCTTGGTCTTATACAGTAAGCACCATTCTTCTTCTTTCTTTCCTCTTCCCATCATTCAACTTCCCGCCTCTGTGAATGCACTCTGTAGATGAATACTACCTTTGTCTAATTAACTTCCAAGACAAAATTTTCATGTCAGGTGCATAATAACTTCGTTAAAAATTTAATATTCTTTTCAAAATAAGATAACCTGAGTTGCTTGGCAATGCAACAATTTATTTGGACATCAAATGAAGGCTATGGCCGTAGAGGTTGTCCTTGCTCCGGTCTCCCTTTAATCAGGAAAATCCGACTGGATGAATTTTCCTATCCAATACGAATTTGTTTGCTCTTCATTCAAGGGTTTACGAGAAATTCACGTTCCTAATATCTACCTTTTCGGCCTATAATTGACTTCAAGCTATTTCAGAATGTATTGTTCTGGCAGTTAATTAATACCAATCAATTTTGGTAATCAAGAAGATCCAGGACTAAATGCAACAATTGGTTAGAAACTGTTCTTATCTGCCTCCTGTTTTTAAGTTTATGACGTGTGTGCTTTATGCAGGGATGCCAGATTGTTGTGCTTATTTAGATTTAAAATTTGGTGGATGATACCTCGTGTGGGAAATTCAGCAAGTGACATCCCCATTGAAACTCAGATGTTGCTGCTGGAAGCAAAGGAAGATTCAAGTTCTAATGACTCTAAAGGATCTCCATCCTATGTCATTTTCTTGCCTACGTTAGACGGTGAATTTAGAAGCAGTTTGCAGGGAAACTCAGCTGATGAGCTAGAAGTTTGTATTGAAAGTGGTGAGAATCTCTCAGACATGGTTCAATTGTTTCGCGTACAGGCTTTGCACTCTATGAATCAGTATTAGAAGTGAACACACAAGGTTGGTACAGATCAAAACAGAGATAAGAAGTGAACACACATAGATGGTGCAGATCAAAACACACACACACACATTAATCAGTGTGCAAAATTTCTTTCCTGATCCAGTAAACGTACTCCATTATTCGCGGGATAGACCAGTGTGGATTACAACTTTATAATCCCCTCGATGAGAAGTTCTCTAGGAAGAAACACCTTCTTTATTGCTTGACATCTTCCTATCTCCAAAAGCCAAACGGCGTCAGTGAAAATTCAGCTCTTGTGCTTGGTGAACCTTAGAATGAAGAACCACCAAAATCATATCTGTTATTTATATAGCGTGTAATGATCAGTCTGTTCATACTTACCATTCTTCTTTTCATCTCTTCTTTCTGTCAGATACAGCTATCTTAACTTAGTCTAATGATATGAGTTGCAAATGCATTCTATAGGTGACCCGGCTGTAATTGCATCAGAGTCTCTAAAAGCAGTTTTTGTGAATTATGGAAACAACCCATTTGATCTGATGAAGGAATCTATGAAGTAGGTGGCTCTCTGAGCAAAGTTTGAGTTCAGTTTAGTTCAAGTGATATTCTTGAGTAACTTGTGAACTTCAATGCAAGTGCCTTGTCGTTTGGCAGCTAAAATCCAGTCGGGTTCCAAGCCACAGGCTTGAATTGAGTCACATAAGATTTTGACTCTCAAGCTATCTTGGATACTCAAACATGAAGTATCCTGAATTAATAGTTGACATTTTTTATGTAACAAACTTTTTTCCACTCTGGCATATGTAGGATCATGGAGAAGCATATTGGAACATTTTCAGTCCGCGAAAGCAAACAGGCAAGTCAGCCTATCTATAAAATCTATATGGCCATCTAATTCCATCTTGGGATATAGAATTGCTGCTGGAAAGATGTGTACTTCAGTGACAAGTTCCTTTGTTTCCCTGATACAGATGCCTGGAATGCTAGATTGGTTTGGTTGGTGCACCTGGGATGCTTTCTATACAGAAGTTAATCCTAAAGGAATCAAAGATGGTCTAAAATGGTAAATATAGCCCCCTCTTCAAATTTTCACCAACTTAATTTCTTTTCCTCTTCTTTATCTGAATTTCTTCTTGTTGATTTCTCTAGACGAAGTGCCGTATCCTGCACAATGATCGACATAGTAAACATTTGTTTCATTCATAAAGATGGCATTCAAGCCAATACTTGATGATTTTATAACTGCCATGGGCATGGTACTTATAAGCCTACGCTTGCTTTCCCAAGTTGCAACCCATCCGCTTTAAACTAATCATTATCTGTGAACTTTTAACTAACTTCTTGTGGGTGTCTTGTATTCCAATTCTAATAGAAAATTGATTTGAACTTTGTTCTCTTTAGGGATTTCGAAAGGTAGATGTCCTAGAATTCCACTTCAAGTAAAAGACCAATTAGAAACCCTATTGTATTAGGAGACAAAGTATTTTGGGTCTATAAATAGATTATAGACTACTCAATTTCTTTTGGGTTTTTGGTCCCTAGTTTTGGGCATCCATGTTTGGTTCTATTCTTTAGGGTAGAGAATTTTGTGTAATCTTCCTTTGTTAATAGTGAAACTTTGCTTCTGCATTTCGCTCGTGAAGTACGCTTTTAAGCAGATCCACATAAATTTATGTTCTAATTTTCTATTTCGTTCCATTCTATTTTGCTTGTGGTTTTTGTTTATAACAAACTGATATCAGAGTTATTGGTTTCGAGATTACTATAATAAAATTCAAAGTAGACAAATTTAGTGATCAGAACAATTTCATTCCATAGAAGATCTAGATATGCGACGTTGCTATGACGAATCATTTGACAAAAGTACTTCATGAGATATTATAATCAACGCTGATGGAGATTCAATAGATTTGCTATTGCGGAGAAAGCAGTTGGAAAATTCACTTTTGGTTTGATGGCTTGGTGGATATACAAGTCAAGGTGGAGAGTTTTTATGGATGCTTGTGATATTTGTATTCCCTCATGGGATTTGTGGAGAAGGCAGGTAGTTCGTTCGCTTTTGTTTTGATTGCTTGATGGAATACAAGCCAAGGTAGAGATTGTTATGGGTGTCCTATAGAGATTTATTGTGGGCGTCTTGAATTCTAGTCCTAATAGGAAGCTAAGTTGAACTTTGTTCTCCTTAGGGATTTAGAAAGGTAGATGTCTTAGAATTCCACTTCAAATAAAAGACCAATCAGAAACCCTTTTGTATTAGGAGACAAAGTATGTTGAGTCTATAAATAGATTATAGACCACTCAGTTTCTTTTGGGTTTTTGGCCCCCAGTTTTGGGCATCCATGTTTGGTTTTATTCTCTGAGTTAAAGAATTTTGTGTAATCTCTCTTTACTGATAGTAAAACTTTGCTGCTGTGTTTTGCTCGTGAAGTAGGCTTTTAAGCCGATCCACGTAAATTTATGTTCTATTTTTCTATTTCGTTCTGTTTTATTTTGCTTGTGATCTTTGTTCATAACAAATTAGTATCAGAGCTACCAATCTTTGATAAACTGTCGGATCTTTCAACTCCTCACCTTCAGCAGTAAGCTTCAGGTTTGGAATCATAGNTTGGTTTCAAAATGGCTACAACAAAATTCGAAGTAAAAAAATTTGGTGGTCAGAACAATTTTAGTGTACGACAGATCTAGATACGTAACGTTGCTATGAGGAATCGTTTGACAAAAGTTCTTTATGAGATACTATGATCAACGCTGATAGAGATTCAATAGATTTGCTATTGGGGAGAAAGCGTTGGAAAATTCACTTTTGATTTGATGGCTTGGTGGACACACAAGTCAAGGTGGACATTTGTTATGAATACTTGTGATATTTGTATTCCCTCACGGGATTTGTGGAGAAGGCAGCTAGTTCATTTGCTTTTATTTTGATTGTTTGATGGAATATAAGTCAAGGTGGAGATTTGTTGTGGACGTCTTGTAAACCAGTCCTAATAGGAAATTGATTTAAATTTTGTTCTCTTTAGGGATTTAGAAAAGTAGATGTCTTAGAATTCTACCAAGTAAAAGACTAATTAGAAACTCAATTGTATTAGGAGACAAAGTATTTTGGGTTTATAAATAGATTATAGACCACTCAGTTTTTTTTTTGGTTTTTTGGCCCCAAAATTTGGGCGATTTTGGCCCCTAGTTTTGGGCATCCATGTTTGATTATGTTCTCTAGTTTAGAGAATTTTGTGCAATCTCCTTTTATTGATAGTGAAACTTTACTATTGCTGCACTTCGCCCTTGGAGTAGGCTTTTTAGCTGATCCACGTAAATTTGTGTTCTATTTTTCTATTTTGTTCCGTTTTATTTTGCTTGTGGTCTTTGTTCATAACATAACTTAACCAGGAGTCTCTGCAAATGTTGACCTTCACATCCTCCAGTATTGCTTAGACATATTCACCCCAAGACTGGAAATCCTAAAATTGCACGGTCGCTGAGTTATAACAACTAATTCACAATTTCAGTGTTTCTCTGTGTTTTATGGCATGAAGCGCATATGCTATTACAATAATTGGACAAGGCATAACACCTATGATGTAATTCCTGGAATGCTCTTGATGAATAATCATCTCCCTTACAAGTAAGATGTATATTAAAGGGAGCATCTTTGGTTTATTTACCTTTGTGCAAGTGGAACTCCTTATATATTGACCATCACTATTGGACTTGGCTAAGGTTTCATCTTAAATAGCTTCTTTAATTAGATTATTTTTTAGTTTATGTCTGTTCTTTATTTGGTCTGGATTTTCCATTGAAAATTAAGTTTCCATTTTTAAAAGCTGCTTTATTTCAGTTATATCTTATGTTACGTGCCTTCATTCTTTCTTTTTTCTTTTTTGTTCCTGGTATTCTATCTTAAACTGTCTTGCAACACCATCTCTCTTTCTCTTTCAGCTTGTTAGAAGGAGGCACTCCAGCAAGGTTTTTGATAATTGATGATGGGTGGCAAGATACAACTAATGAGTTCCAGAATGAAGGAGAGCCTTTTGTGGAGGGGTCACAGTAAGCTCACTTATTTCGCTTCTTCAATCTGATAGCATGTGTATAGCCTCTGATTATATTAACACCAAAGTACAGGTTTGGTGCCAGACTCGTCAGCATTGAGGAAAATAGCAAGTTCAGGAAGACAGGAGATGAGGCTTCAAGTGAGGCACCCAGTGATCTTAAGGAATTTATTTCAGATATAAAGAGTACTTTTGGACTTAAGTATGGTCCCTCCTCATTCCTCCTTTCGATTTCTTGTTTCCTTTGAGTTGGGTTGAGAATCTACGATAGCCTTGGATCAAAACAAAAGAATGATGTAGAGCAGTTTTTAACTCCACTCTGCCACGGAGATTATAATAGAACTGCTATCCATCTTGATACTCCTCGTAATGGTATATATGATTCTGTCATTCCCATTGTCAGAAATAGGGGGGGTTAAACTTTGTTTTGTTCTCATTCCTTTTTTGCAGGTATGTCTATGTATGGCATGCACTCATGGGATACTGGGGGGGACTTCATCCAAATGCTACAGGAACTGAAAAGTACAATCCAAAACTAAAATTCCCCGTACAGTCACCGGGGAATCTTGCACATAAGAGGGATATATCTATGGACTCCATGGAAAAGTACGGTGTTGGCACAATAGATCCTGCCAAAGTATCTGAATTTTATGATGATCTGCACAGGTACCTTGTATCACAGGAAGTGGATGGGGTGAAGGTTGATGTACAGAACATACTGGAAACTATAGCGATTGGTTTGGGAGGCCGGGTATCACTTACAAGACATTTCCAACAAGCTCTTGAAAAGTCTATTGGCACACATTTCCAAGATAATAGCATAATCTGCTGCATGGGTCAGAGCACGGATTCCATCTACAAGTATTAATCTTCTAAATTCCAATTTTCCTGGTCAAGTTCAATACATAGTATGCAGTTGAAAAAGTTAGTCTATACAACAGATCAAACCTTGACAATGCATTAAGGCTCTGAGAAAGGACCTGATTGATTTGAATTGACAATGGTAAACATTACAGCTCTGTCAATCAACTCATAAAGCTTGAGGATCAAGTAGCATAGGTTCCATATCATTGTCAGTTGATTAGCACAATTTAAAGGTCTCCAATGGTCCATCCAGTTGGATGATCAAGAATAGAGAATTGTATCATTCTTCTAACATTTTGAGAAAACAATAAGCCAGTCAACACAAAAGCATAGAATCCCAGCAAAAAAAAAAAAAGAGAAGGAATTCAGAATACGGGATTAGTGTGCTGCATTCATCAGAGTTTGTATATATGGCTATAGAATATATATAGAATGCACACAACTTAATGCCCAGCGCATTGTCTTTCCATGTGAGAAGCATGTGGTGAATTTTTTTATTGGAATTTTTAGAATCTAACCTTAAGCTACCCTTAATTTCTTCATTCTTCATGTGATTTAAGCAAATATAAGCTTTTAGCCCATGCAACAGTATAGGGTACCATTGCATGTAGGCATGTACTCTGTTTATGGATTGTAGTTTCTACAGGTTTATGCATGTGTGAAATATTTATTCAGCCCAAAATGTGGGAAGAGAACGATGACATCGTTTCTCACTTACTGTTGCAGCTCAAAAAGAAGTGCTATCACACGTGTGTCCGATGATTACTATCCAGGAAACCCAACAACACAGACAGTGCATGTGGCGGCTGTGGCTTATAACAGCATATTCTTTGGTGAAGTTGTCGTCCCAGATTGGGACATGTTCTATGTATGACATGGTCCTCTAATTTTATGCTTACTAACTGCTTAATAATTCTACTATGTAATTTCTTTAAAAACTTTCAGAGCCTCCATAATTCAGCTGAGTTTCATGCAGTTGCTAGAGCAGTTGGAGGTTGTGGAGTCTATGTTAGGTAAGCTTATTTTGCCTATGCTATAAATTCTCCAAATTCTCTTGACATTTTTTGTCCATTCATTCCTTCACCTTGAAAATTGCCTTTAACTGCATATAGTAGTATCATTCTGCCAATTTTAGATTACCTTTTTGAAAAGCTTCTAATACTTGACATTACCTTTTTTATTTTTCAACTGTGCCTTCCCTGGACAGTTGTCCTGCTCAAAAACAAAATTGCAGTTGCACAAATCTTAATATCCTCTTGAATGTGCAACATTATATTCCTTAGGCAAAGATTGTCCTGAAATGGGTCTTTTTTTATTTGGATCTCAGTTGATTCAAATGGTTCAGTTGACAGACTGCATAAACCTAACGGAAACACTTTTTCCACTTCATCATCCTACTTTGTTAACTTTTTATATTTTACCTTGGGGTCTACGAGGACATTGTAAACAGTGTGCATCTGTACTGTCATACATGTTCAAAGATTTATGACGAACCATGGTATCATTGATATTTTTCTTTGCTGGTGCAATGTACCACTTACAGATTGATGGTTAGCTGAACACTGTTGTTTTCACTTTCTGATTTTTTTTCTAGAAATGATTCATCCTAAACACTATTTTTCATACACCATGGCTGACGACAGTGATAAGCCCAGTCAGCATGATTTCAAGATACTTAGAAGGCTTGTACTGCCTGATGGATCAGTGCTGAGGGCAAAATACCCAGGGAGGCCATCAAGAGATTGTTTATTTAATGATCCAGTTATGGATGGAAAAAGGTATTTTTCTCTATTGTAAATAATGGGTTTTTAAGATTATGATTTCTAAAATTTCTCAATCAGCCTCTTTATATGTAAAACCAAAGTCTGCTGAAGATCTGGAACCTGAACGAATTTACTGGAATTATTGGAGTCTTCAATTGCCAAGGAGCAGGAAGCTGGCCTTGTCTGGAGAACACTGTCCAAAGAGACATTATCTCTGACCTATCTGGACAGGTCTCTCCTACTGATATCGAGTATTTTGAAGAGGTCTCAGGGAAATCATGGATGGGAGATTGTGCAGTCTTTTCCTTCAACACAGGTATTGTTGATACTGCAAAACCACATTCATAGATGATATGTAACTTCACGCTGTCCAAAGCGTCTCTGGTCATAAATCGTAATTAATTATATGACTACATAAATTATGATTATGGGAATAAAATGTTAGTGTAGACCTGTTTATTTTATTTGTGAGCATGGACATTGCACAACACTTTTGGTACTGTTTCATCGGCCTTAGCATTATTCTACTTTTTTACATCAGCAGGGACCCTGTCTCGGCTACCAGTGCAAGAATCGTTCACGATCACGTTGAACACATTGCAATGTGATGTGTTTACTGTGTCTCCCATTAAGGTTCGCTATTCACTTACCTCTTGTAAGCCATAGTGTAACCCATAATATACATGTATCTTGGACTTCCACTTAACAAATTTTCGGGGTGAGGTTCACAGGTTTACCATCAGAAGATTAAGTTTGCTCCCATTGGATTGATAAATATGTACAATGCTGGAGGAGCTATTCGGGCAGTTGAAGTTTCTAAAGATTCTTCTAATCGTAGAATTGTCATCAAGGGAAGAGGAGCTGGTCTTTTCGGAGCATATTCCGATCCAAAGCCAAAGTTTTGCTCTGTGAACTCTCAAGAACATGAATTCAAATATAGAAGTGAAGATTATTTCTTTACTATACCCACTGGTGGTACAAGTTCATGGGATATTACCATTCGTTATTGAGGCTTCATTTTTGCTTTTAGCCAAGATTCAAATCAAAAGAAGAAAAACGACTGAAGAAATTGTAGCACCTAGACTGGAAATGTTCTCAACGAACCAATGGTGTGTACATAATGAACTACTAATTTTGGAGTGTTTAGCATTGTCGGCCTACAAACAGGCCTATCAAACAGTCCATGAACGCAAACGGGCAAGCCATCAGCTTATCCTCTTCTGCCACAGAGCTAGTTTCCTTTACTGAATGCACATCAGAAAAGGCAATCCTCCTACACTTCGTTGATCAACTCCTTTTCCTTGTTTCGAAATAAATTTTGTTCCTTGGAGGAAGTAAAAAAGAACCAGCCACTCTATTCCCGCCAACCAGTAACTCAACTATATATATATATATATATTCACTGCCGATATAGTTTTAGATTTTCCAACCGAACCTTGTTTGGGTGTGTGTGCCTATATGCTTCTTTCATTCAGGGCTGCATTTCAACCGAGACTATTGAGTTCAAGTACTTGGTCTAACTTCGTAGCTGGATCTGCCTTGGCCACCCAAGGCTNATTCACTGCCGATATAGTTTTAGATTTTCCAACCGAACCATGTTTGGGTGTGTGTGCCTATATGCTTCTTTCATTCAGGGCTGCATTTCAACCGAGACTAGTGAGTTCAAGTACTTGGTCTAACTTCGTAGCTGGATCTGCCTTGGCCACCCAAGGCTGATGCTGATTATCTTCTAATGTGTGCAAAAGAGAAGCTGATTTTTAGAAATTTGTTTGTAGACATTTCTTCTTGAAATCATCCAGCCTAAATGATTTCCATGGTACTAGTTATGGACACAAGATCTATGAGATTTATAGAGCTATTCTTGCTTGCATACCTAAGTTCAGTTTTCATGGGGTATTTATACCTAGGATTGCAATGATGTCTCTCCCATCTAGATTTCAATCCTAACCTCTAGTAGTTTGTGCTCGTTGCCTAGCATAATAAGTGTTATTCTGTCACACCTCATTAATGCGGGGCGGACGTCCAGGTTTACATGCTAGAATGGACCGAGCATTTATGATCCCATCCCCAACCATCAAGTGTTCTACATAGATGTCATGGCTTACTGTTGTGCACTTATGAGCCAAGGTGGGGCATCCACGGGATCCCCCGAGGGCTATCCATTAGTCACAACAGCCATGCCCCCTTAGCTTGATAGCTACTCTCAAGCTCTTCATGGAATACACAGTCAATGATGACTTGTCATGTCATTGTGCCACTCAAGGTTTGTACATCGATGTCATTTAATACTTGACACTGGTTATGCTTCTCGGCCCTAAGCATCCTAATCGCTTGGTCTTAACACTCTTGGGAATTGCATGCATTTCAGCAACATGAGAGATCACGTGTCAAACTCTAGTTGGGTGCCCACTAACGCCCCGTCGACTACTCCCAAGCCTCTGTTTTCTTTACGTCATGGGCCAGGTGTCACGAGGAGAATGGAGGCTTCCTCTGCATGTGTCCATTTTTTTGGGACTACAAGTTGCACGTTTGCCGCCTATTTTTGAATTTTCATTAATGATCCCTACTTTTTCGGCAATCGTTTCCACTTTCAATAATATAAACGAATAGAAATCATAAGGTGAGAGACTCTTTTGGAAATTGTTTTCCTTGCACTGTTTGGTTTCTCGGTGGTTCTTTAGCAAGACTAGGCAAACTATAAAACTTGTATGTACTCTTTGTTTAAAGATCTTCGTATTCTTCTATCTCTTCTTTCCTTTTATCCTTTTTGCAACACCCAAGGGCTAGGGAGTGTAGAAATAGAACCCCAAGGGTCGACAGGCCTAGAAATGAGGGGAAGGCTAGGAAAACTCAAGTGACTGAGTCCAATCTGAATGACTTCAAGTCCATTTACGACCTTATGTTGTTCCACACTGAGATAATCATCAAGGGAGGCGTTAGATCCCCTTGCCCCCCCTTCTCTTAAGGTTCCTGATGCACTTTATGCTTTTTCCTTGACAGTGCTGTGTGAGCCTATTTAGGATAGTGATGAGTGTAGTTGCCCTCAACGCCCGATTAGGAATCACTCTCGGGGTAGACGAGATTCTTTTCTATTATGATATGAGGATAGCCAACAACCAAAATACTATCTCAAGTCCCAGGACCCCACTATGTACTCAGTGACGGATATGCCTAACTCGGACAAAGGTTACACCCGGGATCTCATCATAGTCAGTGGAAAATGGGAGATAGGTGATGGACCAGAGTATGGAGGTCTCTACTGCCCCCAAGGAAATGAGGGTGCTAGATGCATCAGTTTCTACTGAGTCATCCCCCTTTGTACTTAGGAGATAGGTTATGTACTAATCTTTTATCGTTTTCCTTTATTGTAGAAGGTTTTAAGAGGGACACCAAGCAGCCACTTCGATCCTCAGTCAGCTTTGAGGACATCCTAAAAGTGTGGATGTACTAGTGAGAAAACCCCTTCACACTGGCTGTTCACATATTGCTAGGGTACAGGCTGGGCTATACCCATTTTTCCCAAGTTCCTAATCCTTTTGATCTGTCTGCTTGGCTAGACTGTTTTCAAAAAGGAAGTGGCCAACTCTAATTGTGACTTCAAGACCACCTTTTTTGCTTCTAAATCCCCTACTCCTTGAGAATCCATGTTTCGTTTCCCCCAAATTACTGCCGAGGGATTGGATGCTATTGCAGCAGCCAAGAGGACGGCTGTTTCTGGACTAGTCGGGACCTCTGGGACCGTAGCCCCTGCCACCTCCCAATAAAACTTCAACAATAGCAACAACTACAGAGACAGTAGCAAAAACGGCAACCCCGAGACCCTTCACCACCCTCTAGACAGGCCATCCCCTCTTCTAACCAAGTCGGTGCCCAACATGAGCAATGCTGAGGGCAGGAAGACAACCCTGCCACCGAGCGCAGGGTGAAGCGCCAACACGATCCCTCCGTGCAGTCACCCGAAAAAACAAGGCAATCCTGTTGACTAACTCCATCATTCACTTGGTTGATGTGACCCTGGTGGTTAATGGGTCCCTTCACTTTGAGGCTGACATGGCCATTTATCATGACTACTCCGATAGTCGTCTCCTTCAGGGGGTAATCTAGCACAATCTGGTGGTAAGTTGAAGTTTTGTTTGGATACTACCTCTTTTCCCATCTTTTTCCTTTCTTTTTCTCAACACCTAATTCCCACATTCTTTCAGGCGTGTCAACAAATAGGGGTCATTATTGACTGCTTCTTGGACTATTGGACCAAGGTCGACTAAGGCAAGTCTTAACTCACCAAAAAGGACCACCACATTGGCCAAGTGGAAAAGACAGTGGCTGATCAGGTGAAGCACATTCACGAGCTTATCTAGCGTGTCGAAGGCCTTTCTTCTTAGTTGAAGAAGAGTTAAGTTGTAGAGGTCGAGGCAGAGAAAAGGATGAATGTCACGTCCCGAACCCGATTCCCATGGATTCGGTACGCAAACTTAATTACCATCAATTTCAATCCATACAAAGCACTAAAATCCTCAATCAATAAAAATAGAATTTATCAATCTTTAGAAATAATTACAATGGTTCAAACTACTCTCAAAATTATGATATTTCATCAATGAATTAATAATTCGAAGTCTCTAAATCTTCAATCGATCAGATCATCTATCGACTTTGAATAAATTTTCAACTTGCATCTGAGAGGGGTAAATGAGGGTGGACTTGGGAGGACTTGGGAGGCCCAGTAAATAATTTACAACATAATACACGGAATTAGAAGACCACACGATAATCCAACGATCAACCACAGAAGCATGAGATAAATAGAATATTTATCTTTAACACAATTAATAAAAGCATATGAAACTCCATATTCGAATCTTTTTAATTCACCCATGGCTTCATACCCGGTTCGTCTCGCTACATACTAGGCGCTACTTGGTACATCTTATTCTATCACACGCCCCTTGGGGCCACAATCACATATCAATATCAAACCATGCCACCGAGTGCACCTAACACATGTGCCAATAGCTCTCCAAGCACTTCACCATCAAAAATACTTTTTGCACAAATAAATACAAAGAATCATCAAACGAAAACTCAAACGAACATCACAAATCAACAGTTAAACATTGAATCAGAATACAATGACGATAATAATAAAAGGATTTTTTTCAAAGAGATTTAGACATGGATGTATATTATGAGATAAACTACTTACCTAATTCGATGTTGACGAAGACAAGGATCCCAATACTTTACTACCATTGAACAAAATTTAGCCTTGTATCTTTCAGTCAAGTCTAATATTCTCACGATTCTACCTTTTGTGATTCATAATTCACACCTTATATTACCAAAGCACGTCTCTCTCTCTCTCTCTCTCTCTTGTATCTGTCACTTCTAAAGGGTTTCCCAGACTAGCAATTCTATTCTATAGAAACCACAAGTAATCTAGTATTACTCATAAGCTATCAAAACACTCCTATTATAATATAAACTTGNTGTCACTTCTAAAGGGTTTCCCAGACTAGCAATTCTATTCTATAGAAACCAAAAGTAATCTAGTATTACTCATAAGCTATCAAAACACTCCTATTATAATATAAACTTGTAATATTCACGTGCACTCACCCACATGGTATACCATTAACCTCATTTAGTGCAATAAAATAGGTTGTGGCCCTAAAATTTCTCATTCCAATTATCTACATATTATCAGTCAATCAAATAGAAATTAAAGGAGTTATATATGATTACTTAGTTCACTCCTAGTCACTTTGGGTTCCACACCATAATCGACACTCTATCTTAGGAAAAAGTTAAAACTCTCTCCATTTGATTTCATTAGGTGTTTAATTATTATTATTATTATTTTTATATGGGGTATCACAATGAATGAGGCCGAGCTCAAGATCTCAGAAGGCCCCAATTCGTAGAAAAAACCCATAACCCCTTGGACTTATAGCAGAGCCCAAACTGTTAGAGGCTGAGGCTATTTATGCAGCCTTGACTTCTAAGGTCGAGGGCCTGGTAAAGGAACAAGCCAGGAGTGAGGAGAGAGAAAACAACATTCACCTTGAGGTCTTCTACCAAATTTCAATAACAATTCATCCTAGCCTTTACTGATGGTCAAAACAAGTACTTCAAGAAGGGAAGGGATAAGGTGCTGCAGGCCATAGGGGTGAATGTTGACTCCGAGCTTTTCTCAAGGAACCCCTACGTTCCCTAGCAAGTGGTTAGTGAGGTCATGGCCCCTCAGAAAGGTCATCAAGATGTGGCAGCAGCTAGGCAGTAAGATGTGGCAACAAAGAATCTGACAGAGGATGTAGGAGCAGACAATAAGTCAATCCTGCTAAGTGATGGGGATTCAGATGACAATGTGATGTCTCCCCTGTAGCTTTCTTCTCATGTGCTTCCTATTCATCCTAGTGACCCTGTTGTTCTTGACACTTCTGATGTCAACCCAAATATGGGTGAGTTCGAGAAGATAGAGGATCCGCTCTCTGAC